TGGCGAAGCGCGTCAAACGCGACTTGTACCTTTCTCCTCACTATTTGTTTTTTATTCGATCTATTCGACTAAAGGCTTATGAGCGTTGGAGGAGGCGTAGAAGCGCGGGACTTGGGCGAGGGTTTAGGGTTTAGGGTTTAGGGTTTAGGGTTTAGGGTTTGGCTCGCAGTGCCCGTGGCGAAGCGCGTCAAACGCGACTTGTACCTTTCTCCTCACTATTTGTTTTTTATTCGATCTATTCGACTAAAGGCTTATGAGCTCTCGAGCCTTACAAAACGGTGACTTTGGAGAGTTTGGCGGAGGCCTTTGGGGTCTCAGTGCCCTTCATCGAAAGGTGGGGTTGTTGTACTTTCTTTCCGCCGCCTTTTCGCCTTTTCCGTGTCTTTTTCTTTGCTCTTTTCAACGCAATGCTTTGCAAGCCCTTGGGGGCTTTTAATCTTCTTCTTTTTTCTCTTTTTTTCTCCTTTTTTTCCCCTCTTTTTCCCTCTTTTTGGTCTTTTTTTGGCCTTTTTGGCTGTTTTCCCGCGATTTCTGAGTTGAAGTCCCTTTTTCGCGGTTTTGGCGCCATTTTGTGTCTTTTTTGTCCCTTTGTTTCGTTTCGGGGTTCTTAATTCTCTCCGCAATTAGCTCTTTCCGAATTTCTTGTCGAAACGGCGTTTATTGCTCTTTATTTCCGCTTTTTTTCACCTTTTTTTGCTCTTTTTAGAGAGATCTCCGGCTTCGTGGCCTCGGGCCGCCTCGGCTGCCGCATAGACAGCGTCAACGGCGTCGTCGAGGCCCACCGCCCGGACGCGCGGAGTTTCCTTTATCTGCAGACAATAAAGCAGGTGACTTTCTTTTTTGTCTTTTTTGTCTTTTTTGTCTTTTTTTGCGGCTTTTTGAGTCCTTCAAGGTCCCAATAAGTCCTCCAAAGAAGTTAAAAAGGTTTAAAATGGTTTGAGAGGATTTAAAAGCTTCTTTTTGGCTTTTTTTCCGCTTTTTTTGACCCCAAAAGAGTGCAAAAAGGCCTTTTTTCTGTCTCCAAAAATAAATTTCTAATTCCCTCTTTTTGCTTTTTAGTCCCCAAATAAATCTTTTCTGCCTCCCGGGGTTTTGCAAACAAATCCAAAAAGATATGTTGAGTTTAAAAGTCTTTTTAAAAAAATTTGAAGTTTTTTTTGCGAAAAAAAGATAAACATGTCTTCGATGCATGCAGCAGCTGAGGCCTTCTTCGCTGCTCATTTATTTATTTTTATTTATTTATTTATTCCAAAATAAATAAATAATTTAATTATTTCTTTTTGTTTTAAAAAACATTTTCTAAATTGTCTTTTTTGAATGTGCACTCAGGGAGATGTCCTTCTAAACAGAATTCAAAAACTCGCCAGAGTCCTCTCCGTATAAAATGTCCCACAGGGGCCCCCAGAGGGGCCCCCAAGGGGCCCCCCAAGGGGCCCCCAAAGGGCCCCCCATGGGGCCCCCAGAGGGGCCCCTAAAGGGCCCCTTAGGCCGTTCTCAAGGGACCCATAAAGGGGCATTTAAACCCTATTAAGGGGCTCCGAAAAGGGCTTCCGGGGCCCCTCTAGGGGCCCCAAAAGGGGCCCCTAGGCCCTTCTTGGGGGCCCCCAAAAGGGGCCCCTAGGCTCTTCTTGGGGCCCCCAAAAGGGGCCCCAATGCCCTTCTTGGGGCCCCAAAAGGGGCCCCCACTTTCTTACAGGGGACCCTAATGGAGCCCATATGTCCTTATGGGGCCCCTAGGGGCCATCAAGCTCTTAAGGGGCCTCAAAACTCCTTTGGGGGCCCCTTTGGGGGCCCCCAAAACTCCCAGCCAAACCCTAAAAGGGGCCCCCGTGGGCTGGTAAGACCCTGGAGGGCTTTCAAACCCTAAAGGACCCATAAAGGGTCTTCTAAACCCTTCGAGGGGCCCCTGAGGGGCCCCAACATGCTGTGGGGGCGGTCCTTGTCCGAGGGCCTCTTCAGGGGCCCCCCAAAGACCAAGTGGGGGGCCCCGTGGATGCGCAGGGGGCCCCTGGGGGGCCCCTCAAGGGGCCCCTGGGGGGCCCCTCAAGGGGCCCCTCGGGGGCCCCGAGAATGGGTAGTTGGGGAAACACTTTAAAGGCTTTCTGGGGCCCCTCTAAGGATATACATGAGGGGCCCCAAAAGGGTTTTCTGGGGCCCCCCTTGGGGGCCCCCATAGGGGCCCCCAGGGGTGACCCTTTCGGGGGCCCCTGGGGGCCCCTAGGGGGCCCTCAGGGGGGCCCCCCGGAGCCTCTTAGGTGTGTGCATGTGTTGTAACTTGTTGGGAACTGAAAGACTGAATAAAAGAATTAAATAAAAGTTGAGAGGAAAAATAAAAAGAATTAGATAAAAGTTGAGAATAAAAATAAAAAGAATTAAACAAAAGTTGAGAAGAAAAACAAAAATAATTAAATAAAAGTTGAGAAGAAAAATAAAAGAAAGAATTTGTACAGAGGAGTGGAGGGCGCGGGGTGTACGTACACCCCGTGGTCCTCTACAGGGAGGTCTAGGCGAGTAGTAGGGTTTAGGGTTTAAGGGCTTTTATCGTGGGTTCGGGATCAAGGGTTTAGGGTTTAGGGTTTAGGGTTTAGGGTTTAGGGTTTGGACCGTCTCGGGTGTCTGCACAGCTAGTTGCGGTGTACAGACACCACCACCCCCGTAAGCCGGTCTTTTTCCATTTTTATTTCATTTAAATATCTCAAAACAATTTAATTTACTTTTAATTCCATAAAACAACAAAAAAGCCAGACAAAGCCCAGAAATAGACTGAAGAGGGCCCCAGGGGGCCCCTGGGGGCCCCCCGGGGGCCCCTGGGGGCCCCTGGGGGCCCCCAGCCTTAGGCTCGGGGGGCCCCCCTGATGTCTCCTGCAGCAGAAAAGGGAATAATTAATGAATTGAATAAGTTGAATTGTTTCAGAGTCTTATACCACTTGGGGTCTTTATGAGAAGGGTTTAGGTTTTAGGGTTTAGTGTGTAGGTTTAGGGTTTAGGGTTTAGGGTTTAGGGTTTAGGGTTTAGGCCGCCTCGGCTGGCCCCTGCTGCTGCTGCTGCAGCTGCATGCAGCATTTTCCCTTGGGTCCTTCTATGGGGCTTTCTCTGAGGGGCCTCAAGCCTCAATTTAGTGTTCTATCCTACCCCTTGCTGCTGCTGCTGCTGCTGCTGCTGCTGCTGCTGCTGCTGCTGCTGCCTAGCGGCGCTGCTGCAGTTGCAGTGAGCCTGCGTGGCTGCGCGGGGGCCCCCCGTCCTCTGAAACTTGAAGGGGGGCCCCCAAACTCCCTAGGGAGGGGCCCCCCTTGGGGGGCCCCCTGCACCGGGGGCCCCTCCCTAGGGTTCATTTGGGGGGCCCCCAGACCCTGCTGCAAACCTGAGGGGGCCCCCCGGGGGCCCCCCGAGCTCCGCTGTGCCTCCATATCACAGGCACCACTGGGGCCCCCAGGGGGCCCCCAAGGGGGGCCCCCAGAGGGGCCCACAGGGGGGCCCCCAGAGGGGCCCTCAGGGGGGCCCCTCTGGGGGCCCCCAGAGAGGCCCCCAGGGGGGCCCACAGGGGGGCCCCCAGGGGGGCCCCCAGAGGGGCCCACAGGGGGTACCCCAGAGGGGCCCCCAGGGGGGCCCCCAGGGGGGCCCCCGGGGGCCCCCAGCTCCTTTTTGCAGCCTATGGATATTAATTGTCTCCTTAGACGCAAAGAAGAGGCAAAGGCCCTTTTAGAAAGCCGGGGGGCCCCCCAGGAGGCCAAGGAGGCCCTAGAGGCCCTGCCGGGTCGGGCACTAGGGTTTAGGGTTTAGGGTTTAGGGTTTAGGGTTTAGGGGTGGGGGTTTACGGCATAGGGCCTAGGGTCTAGTGTTTAGGGTCTAACGGCCCGTCATTAAAGATTTGTTACACTAATTTAGAGCTTCGGGTTTGGGGTCTCGGCAGAGGGTTTATAGTTCAGGGTTTAGGGTTTAGGGTTTAGGGTTTAGGGTTTAGGTTTTAGGGTTTGGGGTTTGCAGGGTTGGTGGCGCGTCTGCGCCAGGTGTCTAGGGAGCTCAACATGCTGATGCGGAAAAGGAAAGAAGCAGCAAGGACCCAGCAGCAGCAGCAGCAGCAGCAGCAGCAGCAGCAGCAGCAGCAAGAACAGCAGCAGCTGCAGCAGCAGCAGCAGCAGCAGCTGATTTCCTCTGCAGCAGCAAGGAAGGCAGAGGTGGGGCCCCTTGTTCTGGTTGGCTTTTCTTTTTACTGAATTAAAACCTTCTAAATTAATTTAATTATTTTTATTTATTTATTTATTTATTTATTTATTTAAATTAATTAATTAATTTAATTATTTAATTAATTTAATTAATTAATTAAAATAAATAAATAAATGGAGACAGGGCGCAGAGGTGTCTCCTGCAGGCAGCAAACCTTCACTCCCTCAGCCGGCGAGCAGCAGCAGAACGGCAGCAGCTGCAGCAGCAGCTGCAGCAGCAGCTGCTGCTGCTGCCTAACGGCTTAGACCCTAGGGTGCGCCTCTAGCTGCTGCTGCTGTTGCTGCTGCTGCTGCTGCTGCTGCTGCTGCTGCTGGTGCTGCTGCTGTTGCTGCTGTCCTCTTGCTTCTGCACGTTTAGTTGCTGCTGCTGCGGTTGCTGCTGCTGCTGCTGCTCCCGCGGCTGCTGCTGCACCAGCGTTTGCTGCAGCAGCAGCAGCAGCTGCTGCTTCTGCTGCAGCTGCTGGGGTGTATCTACAGGTCGAGCCAGGAGACACTGCAGCAGCAAATAAAGAAATCAGAAGATGGTCTCCTTTCGGGTGTACAGACAGCTTGTCTCCAAAGGGACACTTGGAGATCTTGGCTTCTTTGGGGGCCCTGGGGGCCCCTGGGGCCCCTGGGGGTGCAGCAGCAGCAGCAGCAGCAGCAGCAGCAGCAGCAGCAGCAGTGGGGGGCCGGCGCTGCTGCGTGCTGCAGGGAGCAGCAGCACAGCTGCATGCTGCTTTGTCATGTTTCTTTGAAGCAGCAGCAATTAAAAAGGGCTTCACACCGGTGCTTCCACCGCTGATTGTCAGGTCTGCTGCTGCTGCTGCTGCTGCTGCTGCTGCTGCTGCTGGTTCTGCTGCTGCTGCTGCTGCTGCTGGTTCTGCTGCTGCTGCTGTTGGTAGTGCATCTGCTGCTGCTGCCACTGCTGCTGGCGCTACTTGTATTGTTTCTGCTGTTGCTGCTATTGATGTCCCTCCTGCTGCTGCTGCTTCTAATATTGTTGCTGCTGCTGTTGTGCTGCTGCTGCTGCTGCTGCTGCTGCTGTGCTGCTGCTGCTGCTGCTGCATTTGCTTCAGGCGGTCTGCGCTGGAGTCCACGGGGCAGCTGCCGCGACTAGAAGGAGACACTTTTAAACTCGATAAGAGACACCTCGTGAGGCCCTGAACCCCAAACCCTAAACCCTAAACCCTAAACCCTAACCCCTTTGGTGCTCCCTGGATCTTGCGGCGTGACCTTTAGGGTTTAGGGTTTAGGGTTTAGGGTTTAGGGTTTAGGGTTTGTGCGCAGGCAGCAGGAGAAGAGATGTATATGTCTCCGACCTCAGAGGTGTCTCTCCTGGGGTTGTATAGGTGAGTGCCTTCGTGAGGGTTTAGGGTTTAGGGTTTAGGGTTTAGGGTTTAGGGTTTAGGGTTTAGGGTTTAGGGTTTCTGCCTCAGGGACTGTGTGCTGCACGCAAGCCAACTGCCTCTACGCCTAACGGCTACAACCCCTTGCTTCCGGTGGGGTTATCTGTTGCTGCTGCTGCAGCAGCAGTTGCTGCTGCTGCAGCAACTGCTGCTGCTGCTATTGCTGCTAAAGCTGCAGCAGCAGCAGCTGCTGCTGCTATTCTGTGGCTTTAGCTGCAGCTCCAGATATTGCTGCTTTAACTTTATTTTTTGCTGCTGCCAATAAGTATTAAGCGTTGCATCTGTTGGTTCTGCTGCTGCTGCCTTTGCTGCTGCTGCTGCTGCTGCTGTTGCTGCTGCTGCTGCTGCTGCTGCTGCTGCAGCAACGAAGATGGCAACTACGGGTCTGAGCACCGCGGGCTGTATCGACAGCGCACTTTTTACAAGACGGAAGTTGCTGCTGTCTGTACACCTGAAGAATCGGAGCAGCAGCAGCAGCAGCTGCTGCAGCACGCGGAGCAGCTGCTGCAGTAAGTGTCTCCTTTTGTCTCCTTTTGCTGCTGTTGCCACCCTTAACTAGGGTTTAGGGTTTGACTTCCTTTTCCCCTTCCCTGCCCCAGCCACTTCTGCTGCTGCTGCTGCTGCTGTCTCCGCTGCTGTTGCTGCTGTGCAGTTGCTGCTGCTGCTGCTGCTGCTCCTGCTGCTTCTGCTCTCTTGCTGCTACTACTGCTCCTGCTGCTGCTGCTGCTGCTGCTGCAGGGCGCTGCAGCTGCCTTACAGAGTGGTGCAGCTGTGCGCTGGAGAGACAGCTTTTGCTGCTGCTGTTTGCTTCGACTTGGAGGTGGGGTTTCTGGGGTGTACGTACACCTGAAGTGTCTCCTTTTTGTCCCTTTTGTTTCTCTTTTTTTAACTGCTGCCAGGCCTTGTTTTATATATATTTTGTTTTTATTTCATTCTTTATTTATTTATTTATTTATTTATTTATTTATTTATTTATTTATTTATTTTGTTTTTTTTTAATTTTGTTTTCTTTCTACTCAGGTGTGGATGCCAGGCTTGCAGCGCTTTCTGGAGGTCTCTTCTGTCTCCAACTGCAGAGACTACCAGGTCCCCTGCTGCTGCTGCTGCTGCTGCTGCTGTTGCTGCTGCTGCTGCTGCTGCTGTTGCTGCTGCTGCTGCTGTGGGGCTGCAAGGCGGCTGGCGTGGGCTGAGGTGTACATACACCGCAAGCCGCCATGCGTGCGTCCAGGCCCGCCGCCTAAACCTCCGCTTTAGAGACACTTCAAGACCCCCGCAGCAGCAGCAGCAGCAGCAGCAGCAGCAGCAGCGGCAGCAGCAGCAGCAGCGGCAGCAGCAGCAGCAGGGAAGGAAACGGCCCCAGTACTGCCACACTCTCAACGGGACCGCGCTGGCCGTGGGAAGGGTTTTGGCTGCCCTTGTGGAAAACCACCATGTGAGCTACAAACCCTAAACCCTAAACCCTAAACCCTTGGGGGTAAACCCTAAACCCTTGGGGGTAAACTCCAAACCCTTGGGGGTAAAGCCTAAACCCTTGGGGGTAAACCCTAAACCCTAAACTATCTGTGTTAAAACCCTAGACCCTTGGGGCTAAACCCTAAACCCTTGGAGGTAAACCCTAAATCCCTGGAGGCAAACCCGTAAACCCTAAGCCTTTGGGGATAAAACCTAAACCCTAAACCCTTGGGGGTAAACCCTAAACCCTAGTCACTCATCCCCAGCCGCCGCTTCACTCTCTCTGCAGCCCTCCGCTCTCTTACCCCTACTTCTGTTTATTTGTTATTTTATTATTTATTTATTTATTATTTATTTATTTATTTATTTATTTATTTATTTATTTATTTATTATTTGTTTATTATTTTGTTTATTTTTTGTTTTCAGTGCACTACAGATGAAGGAGAACCTGCTGTCAAGCTGCCGCCTCCTTTGCGGCCCTTCTTTGACGGCAAAACGTACCTCACTAGGGTTTAGGGTTTAGGGTTTAGGGTTTAGGGTTTAGGGTTTGTCGTCAAATTTCGCGCAAGGGACAAAAAACGCAAATAACTTCGAAAATAAAGTTATTTCGTGCTCACAATTTTAAATGAAGTAATTAGAGCAAAAGGCGCTGGGATGTTGAGGTGTCTGTACACCCGAACACACGAAACCCTCGCGCAGGGGTTTAAACCGGCCACAAATGAGTTTAAAAGTTTAAATAATAAAAACAAAACATTTTTAATTTGTAAAAGAATTTAATTTTAGTTTTCTATTCGTTTAAATAAAGCAGTTTCCGACTTCGCGGTGTCGACCGGAGCTGCGGATACACCTGAGCTGCATGCACACCGGCGCTTCTCCGGCGCGCGATCGCGGCAGTAAATCAACTATAAACACTTTTCCGGAATTATTTAATTAATTTAATAGAAATAAATAACTTTTAAAGTCCACTTTCCACTTCAAAAGGCTTCAAAAGGCGCCGAGGGGCCCAAAAAAGTCCGCCGCGAGTCTTCGCGCTGCAGCGCGCGGCGCACACAGCCGAGCTGCGGTGTACGTACACCGCAGACAGGCCCCTCAAAACCCCCGCACATACTTTTCGCAGTTTTGCGCCAATCTGCAGCAGAAACTTCGAAAAAAAAAGAACAAAAAGAACCAAAAGAGCCCCAGGGGCCCCCGAAGTGTCCAGACTGGCTGGCTGGGGTGTACGTACACCTGAATCCAGGCCAAGTCAGCACTTCTTTTTCCCCAAAATGGAAAAAGGCCCTTTGGGCTGTCTCTGCCACCAAGTGGATGCTGTTGACGGCTTAGTGTTCGAGGTAGAGCTGCGCCAGCTGCAGCAGCAGTTCCCCGGGGGGCCCCCTGAGGGGCCCCCCTGGGGGGCCCCCGAGGGGCCCCCGGGGGCCCCCCCAGGGGCCCCGAGAGACCCGGGGGGCCCCCAAGAGCCTTGGGTGTACCCTGGCAATCTGCAGTGTGCACAGGAGTACCCCGGTGACCCTCAGGGGCACTTTGGGGGCCCCCAGGGGTACTGGGGGGCCCCCCAAGGGTACACGGGGGGCCCCCAGGAAGACGTGGGGGGCCCCCAGGGTCACTTATGGGGGCCCCCGGGAGGGTCGGGGGCCCCCCAGGGGTACTGGGGGGGCCCCCAGGGGTACTCGGGGGGCCCCCAGGAAGACTTGGGGGGCCCCCAAGGGTACTGGGGGGGCCCCCAAGGGTACTGGGGGGCCCCCCAGGGCCTCTTGGATGAGCGTTTAGGTGTAGAGACGGCTGGGGGTTGCTGGAAGGAAGAGAAGTTTGTTGTGGGGTGGCAGCAAAAGGTATTTAGTCAAATGTGAGTTTAAAAAAGTCAAAAAGAGACAAAAAGAGACAAAAAGAGACAAAAAAATACAAAAAGGAGACACTTTATTGGGCCCTCTTTGCTTCTGCAGCAGTAAAGAAAAAGAAATTAATTTTAACGAGACAAACAGAGACACAATAGCCCCCAGGCTGCTGCTGCTGCGCAGCAGCAGCAGCAGCAGCAGCAGCAGCAGCAGGCGCTGCAGCTACTGCAGCAGCAAAAGATGCAAAACAAATAACCAATTAGATGTAATGAAGCAGCAAAGAAGCAGAAGTGCAGGAGACACAAACTTAGAAAAAGTATCACAAAAACGAACAGCAACGATGCAGCACCTCGAATTGCTGCTGCTGCTGCTGCTGCTGCTGCTGTTGCTTCTACTGCTGCTGCTGCTGCTGCTACCGCTGCTACTGCTGCTGCTGCTGCTGCTTGTCCTGCTGCTCCCGTTGCTGCTGCAGCTGCTGCTGTACGTCCATCCCAAAAAAATACCGCAAGCACCGTTGCTGCTGCTGCTGCTGCTGCTGCTGCTGCTGCTGCTGCTGCTGCTGCTGCTGCTGCTGCTGCTGCTGCTGCTGCTGCTGCTGCAGGGAGCGGGGGGTGTACATGCAGCCGCTGGACGTGGAGGAGCAGCAAATGTGTCCGCGTTGGGTTTTTTATCAGCAGCAGCTGCTGCAGGAGTTCAAAAGAGACAAAAAGGAGACACTTTTTCCCGGAGACAAAAAACAATCTTCTTTTTACACTTTCACCGACGGAGACATCCGAGAAACCCTCCCCTTTCTCCTCCTCAGGGCCCAGCAAAAGGGCGCCAAACACCCCGCGTAGGCCCTAGGGTTTAGGGTTTAGGGTTTAGGGTTTAGGGTTTAGGGTTTAGGGTTTGGACGCAGGAGGCCTCCTCGAAGCAGCGTTTGCTGCGTCGCTGGCTGTAGGGCCTAGTGTTTAGGGTTTAGGGTTTAGGGTTTAGGGTTTGGGCTTTAACCACGGGGTGCGAGCTTCACGCTGCTGCTGCAGCTTCGCTGGACTTAGATGATACGCTTTAGGGTTTAGCGTTTAGGGTTTAGGGTTTAGGACCTAGAGCACACCTTAGCAAGTT